TTATGGAGAGCCGTAGTATATAAGAGTACACATCACACAATATTGCCATATTCTTTACGATGGCTGAMGGCATCTCGTCTCTATCTCATCTTCAAAATTGCTGAAAATGATATGTGACACAAGCTATTAATATTAAATATGAACACGCAACGCCGGTTCGATGATAATAGTATTGAATAAAAAAGAGATACTTGCGTTACTTTAAGTGGTGGAAGGGCACGATTTCAAATTGTATATTTGAGGATATTTCCTTCAACATTAATTGGTTTAACGAATTTAAAAATGCAAATCGTCACGCTTATTTTGTCATCACTTTCATCATTTTGTTTCTGGTAAGCTCTTTAAGRTAACGAACTTTAGTCTTCTTCACGGTTCCAGCTGGCGCCATCTTGGAAAGTAGAGGTGCCTTTGTATCGAAGCGAGACGATCTTTGAGCGGGCAATGATGGAAATTAARAGCTTCTCTCWCACCTACAGACAATTATTCACAGCAAATATTGTAGAGGGAAATGGTTAGGGAGCCTTTTGTTGCAGGTTTTTGGGCACTATGTCCACAGGTKTCTCATCATTGCACGCCCGATGGTCATATAATGGCTTCGATGTAAAGGCACAGCCATCCACTTCTCAAAAAATAGCGAATGGAAACGTAAAGAAGACTATTATTGTATTAAAAATGGGTCCACGTGATGTTACTCCTTGCATTTATCCAGGCATTCTTTCCCATTAAAACAAAGTAGAAATCAGGGGAAAATATCAAGAGTGCCCTTAAAATTGATATTAAATTTTGCTAAATATTCCAAAATCTTTTTGTATCTTCAAAGTATTCGCAACAAATCCGGATGTGGTAAGACCAAAAGTAAATGGTGCAACTATCATCTAAGGATGAAAACAAGAACAGTTATGAGTTTTAATGGCAGCTGGCGTCTTGTGAAGAAAATAAAGAAAATAGTTGGACAACTGGCTCCTTCAGATGGCAAATACTATTGGATAATTTAAAAGGTAAGCAGCTTAAATATATAAAAGGTCGGTCGCGTGATGTTCTTCTTGATGTGCAAGATTCAGTTTCTTTTTTAATTTTTTTTAATTTTAATTTTTTTAATTTTAATTTTAATCTTAAAAGCATGCGCAGTTTACTGCAAATAAGGGACTGTGCAATAATTACCAGGAAAAGGGGGGGTTTGGGGTGTAAAACCAGATTTTTCAAGCAGAAAATTAGTCAGAACCCCTCCTCCAAAGCATAAGAAAATAGCTCTTACGCGCCTCTGCTATATTAGAAATAACGTCGTCCTCTAACTATTTAAAACTTTAGTTATAAGACAAGCACAAGCGAGTCGAGTCAACACTGTAGCAACGCAAAATTCACTAAAGACGAACCCAGATGCAAGAGGTGGCTTACTCATCTAGATCTAAGTTTTAAGACAAAAACTTTTCAGTAGGAGCTGACGGGGTCTGTTCTGCTATATAACTGTTCTTGTTGTTGTTCCTGGGAAATTAAACGGGTTTTACATTGGCTACATTGTTGAAAATCTCATAAGCAAATGTGGCTCCCTTGCTTCTTTCAAATATTTTTGTTCCTGGCAAAGMTTTTCGAGGTCCMAAAAAGGCTTATGTAACGTTTTAATGGTCAAAAACGACTTGTGCTTGTTATGTCTAATAAATCATCAATATGTTTTTCAGCTTCTACATCTTCAATTTATGTGATAACTACATCCTCAATTTATGTGACAAAATTGAAAAAAGTTAATAGTTGAAAAAGAATTCCATACCTTTGGTCAATTTCAATCCCACATCAACGAGTCTTTGAATTTAAATTTCCATTAGTCAGGCGCATAGGGTACACGTTTTAAGCACATGTCAGGGACCGCGACACATATTTTGGATCTGGGGGTCCAACGACCGCCAAAGGCGGGAGTATTAAGGGGAGTCTGGACCTCCCCSAGAAAATTCTGAAATTACTAACTCTCGGAAACGCGATTTCCATCGTTTTGAGAGACATCGAAAATTATGAAAATTTTGAATGAAACTTAAGGCCTCCCCTCTGTTAATTAGGTAATTTTACTTTGAGCCCCCCCCCTATCTTGCCATCAATTCATGTAATAAACCCCCTTCTGGTTTTACGCCCCCCCTCCTGGTAATTATTGCCCAGTCCCTAAGAACATTTTGAATAATGATTTGTTCTTGTCGAAAGAAATCATTTGATAAGGGAGTTGCTTCAAAACCTAGTGAAGGCTTGTGATGCGACATTAAAATTGAAACCTTTGCTAGTGTTGGGTTATCTCAATTGTGACGACCGTGTTTTAAATCTGATGCGACACTAGTATTGTGTTTGGTTTACAAGGGAAATCACGTGACCAAATAGACAGTCCTTATTGGAGTAATGGGTCATTAATTATTAATGTTATTATAAATCAGTGATAAAATATCTTTTTTGGAGGGRTGGGAGCGGATTTYTCTCATTTCACCCTTATTTATGRTGGCAATACGACAACCCACAATGCATTTCGGTACTGGAATGTACTAGTTTSAGTACTTTTCAATTGCTTAAATAATGAATCGTTTTTATTTCTTATTCATTTTAGGCATGATGAATGACATGGCTTCCAATTATGATGATTTGCAATCTTGATAATAATGGATCATTGTAAGAATGCTTACGGCCGAATCTTATGYATAATAAAATTCTAAAATTCTGTAACTGACGGCGACAATGAATCTAGTGTGCATAATAAATTCTCAAATGTCTTTGCTATTGTACCTTTTTACCTTTTTCGATTTTGGATAACTAAACCAGAAACCTATAAGGGACTTGAAACGTGTGACCCAAACGTTTCTTTAGTAGCAAGCGTCGGAGTATTCAAATCTTATTAAAAATTCCAAGACAAATGTTATGACCATATTTAGAAAATACGGCCAGAGATTTAAGGCCCGTTCTGGTTGGCTACGGGGAAAAATTTAATTGTTTCAAATAAGGACATGAGATGCAAATTAGATTTGAATATTCCAATGGTTGCCACGGCGTTACACATTTCAAATATAGGTTTCGGACTAAACATAAATGCATAGACTKATACCAACGTTTGAATTTTGTAATCATTTTTCGGGTTAACTTTTTGTTTTAGCTCAGGAGTTGTAGAAATCCCCTGGGGGATTGCSATCATTTCGGATAAAAAATACATCGCCAGTCAAAAATAAGGACAAATTCACTGAAGTTTCTTTTCAAACTTAAAAAAAAAAAAAACAGAATACAATTGCCCATAAAATGAGAAAAAATATCAATGTTTAAAATCACCTAAATTTGAGATTAAAGAGATTTCAACGACTTGAAATCTGGCAATCAATACATATAGGCCTGTAGTTAACCTCTCTTTTCGATAGTCTGGTGAGCCTGTTGTTAGCTACAGGTACCAGCAAATTCTCATCGCTTCAGTTATTGGACCACTTTAAATAGACTGTTTTAAAATAGGTCCAAATCTCATTTTTTTGGTTTCTCTTTGAATAGACCAAACATAAGATATAAATGATATTAAATGAGCCTGCGGAGATATCTTCGATATCTTCAAGTGATATCTTCAATTTAAAAAGATCTSTTCAAAGTGTAATGTACGAATTTTTCAAAACCGAAAGATAAAATTCATATCTCCAAACGACCATGTAATATTCTGTTTACCATCAAACAATTATTTATAAAAGYAAATTATGTCTTGTAAAATACCTTTTTTACTTTCAATATATRGCGAGAAACCTTGAATGTGTTATTTCCCTCCACTAGTTAAAATAACTTTTAAAAAGAGAGAAATACAGGTATTTCATAGATAATTATATATCGATGCGGAAAAATAATAGTTAATAAGATAAGAATAGATTACAACAACAAGATATAGAGGATATTACATGGGCGCGCGTATAGATACGGATTTTATCTTCGAGTGTTGAAAAAAKCTTMACGAGTGAGCGTAGCGATTTTCAACACGAGAGGGTAAAATTCGTACCTCCAAGCGATCATGTAACATTCTGTTTATGTCAGCAAAATGCTTTTTTTTTTTCTTACTTCCACTATATACAGAAACCTCGAATGTGTTAATATTTTTCACTAGTGGAAATGACAAGTTAAGAAATGAGAAATATAGGCAATTCATACATAATTATATAATAAATAGATATACTGATATAATACTGTCTGATGAGTACGTAACACGAAACTCGGAGTTACAGCAAAATCTTGCCTCTTTGATATCATATATATAATAAATAGATAAGTAGAATGAAATAGAACAAAACACCAACTTGAAGCTATAATAACTCTGTTTATTTGACGTTTCGGCACTTCGGCCTTCTTCAGCAAACTCAGTGTTTTGCACGCGCCACTCTCTATAAATCCTAGCAACTAAGCGACCAATCAACTAACACAAACAACAAAGAAACTACGAAAAGCTAACGGAAACCTAAGAAATAAATAAATAATAAATAGATATATATTTTTATAAACACAACATTACACGGGCACGCAGAGATAAGGAATTTATCTTCAAATGTTCCATTGATATCTCACGAGTGGTCAAATGAAAACCAAAAGAACACTCGAGGATAAATTCCGTATCTCTGCGCAACCGTGTAATATCCTCTTTGTACATTCTAATTGCATTGTTTTCTTTTGGTGTCTATTTGACTATCACACTTTAACAATCAAGTTTAGTTTCACGGCTTTAATTACATCACTCTTAAAGCAAAAAAATATTCAACCGATGGTCAAGAAATCATGAAAAATCTTTCCTAACAKCTGGTTAGCTTATCGTGATATGGAAAAAAATGTAAGAAATTCAAATCGATAAATATTTTCACCGTTGAGTGACATGAATGCTGCCACCATACAAATGTYAAGGTTTTGGTGCAAAATCACCAGTGTCTGGCAGGTATGATGTGCACCATGGAATATTTCAGGCTAGTATCAAAAGTCCATCAACAGGGACATTCAGTGATTGACATTCAAGTGTTCTTACTGGGTCGACTACAAGTTTCAAAGGATTTTTGTGTTTTTCATTGTCCAATCTCTTTTAATCACAAGGTAAGTGTTATGTACTTTTTCACGCTTTGAGGTGCCAAAGGATGATATGCTCTAGCTGCAGAATTAGGTCCAAATTTTTGATATTTTTCTTTTCACAATTTAAAGTGTAATCACACCCACTGAAACCTTTCCTCTTTTGATCACCATGTCTTTAAAGAGTYCATTTTTAATATCAGAGAGATGGAAGGCGCCAGGCTTCTTACATTGTTGGTCTTATTGGCAACTGCTTGCWTYGTGATTGCGAACGATGAAACGCTCTCGGTAAGTTAGGAAAATACGATCACACTTTTGTTGGTTAGAAATGGTTCAAGAAAAATATGACAAAATTCAAATTTTTGTTATAGAATAGACATATTCTTAGACAACACCTTCACCATCAAGCTAGGACTTGAACGTCGATCTTTTGACTATCTTGGCTGTCTCAACAGTACATATGGTTAACTAATATTTATCTCTACTTTGATTTGTTCTAATATTGTAGGAGTTAGAAAAGTCCGAGGGGAATGACGAGTCAGGTACTAGAATCAGATAGATTTATAAAAAAAATCAAATGGAATCTCTTTGTCTTGTTTTCTATTTGAAACTCAAAGTTTGATTTGTTTATTGGCCTGTTTATCCGCCATGATACTCTTTGATATACCTTAATATAACCTTTGGAGCATCCACGCCGGATGTTTTGTTATACTTACCTATTTTCATCCGAAAAGATTGTATTGTATGGTTTGACCGTATGAATTATAATAAAATTTTTGAGAAATATAAAACAAATCTGTTGCAAATGAAAAACTAAGTAATTGTTGATTAGTATTATTCCCCCTGGAATAAAAAAGAGTTCAAATAAGGACTACTGGTAAACACTAGTCTACTAAATACTTCATCGTCTCGCGACAGGTGATTTGGCAAGCGGGACATCTGAGAGGAATGATCAATATGACGATGACGATAGCCCGCCAATAACTGAACTCCAAGAAGCAGGTAAAGTTTGCATCTCAAAATACTCCTATTTCAAAAAAACGGATGTCGGGGAGAAAGTTGAAAGACGATTTCCGAATGAAGAATGCCCGACCAACGGACTATCGCTCTAATGTTTTGACAAAGACAATTTCACTTATTGGATTCACTTTGCATAGCAATAWAACCATTGTTCACCTCAGACTTATTTACAGTTTAAATCAGTTACTATATTTTACTTTTGACTTTCCGCACATGCAGCTAAAAACCAACGCATCAATGAAATCAAAATTAGACTTACGGCGTTCAGTGGTCCATTGGTATCCCGTGCTAAAGAATCCTTATCAAGTTTAAATAGAAGCTGGACAAGCCTCTCCAACGATGCCAAGGAACGTGCCCTAGAAACATTAGGTGTCATATCTTCAAACATTGAGGCGTATGGCAATGCTAGTGGAGATCCAGTAAGTGCCATGGAAGCAGCGACTAACATCCTTGCCTCCGTATCCAGTAGTTTTGAACCTAAGGGCGAGCTTTCAAGTACGGCTCAGGGTTTTGTTCCTGCTCTTCTTGGTTTGTTTGGTAAAGGACCAAAACCGAAGTCTTTTGATGCTGTTATTGGAGAGCAGATAAAAGATACTCTGGCGAAATATCCTGAAAATATTCTCTCTAGCCAAAAAAGTGTTTTGCTGTCAGCATTTAAACGCGCCAAAGCCTACCTAGACAACGCTGCAAAGTCGGGGAAACCCTTTAGTACAAAGACAGTGCCTTTGGCAAAAAAAGAAGTGCAAAGATTACAAGGTGCGAAGTTTATGGGAATACTTGTCAATAAAACAAATATTATGTTCGACGATAACAAATGGGCCAATGCAAGAAAAGCCATTAAATATTGTGAGATGTACGCACAGCTAGCGGTATACCGTGATATCATCCTAACACAGTATATTTCCATGATACCAACCGATGCAAAATGGCAAACTATCCTCAATGAGACAATAAACAAACAAGAGTCGTTAACAAAAACGGCAGAGGATTTGCTCGGCAAGCTCTACGCAGTCGACTACGATAGCGCGATCATTCCCYTKTTTGATCCAGATGTCAGCGTCATAACGGACGCTTACTCTACTGAGATGCTGAAATTGGGTGATTACGATCGATCAATGACTGGACTGTATTGCCTTATGACCGAACGGAATGGTCGCCTAGAAGAACTGGTTTGGAGTGAAACGGATAAACACTTCAAACCTGCTAACAATCCTTACACTATACTTATGAAAGAGAAAGGCAATGATAACTGTTTCTGGAAAATAGTACCACACGCGGGAAACACGTCCAGCATTGTGAATAAGTTCAAATGCAAAGAGAAGAACCAATTTTGTGACTGGCCGCTATCCTGGTCAATGGCTGATGGCAAGGCCTATGTGGACATCGACGCGAATGACCCCATTTTGTGGGAAATYGGAGGTTCTAATGACTGGAAATAGTAAGTTTTGCTACGTATCTTACACAATTCGCTTTGCCATTTTGAATTGCCACTTGTGATCTATCGCTTCCTTAACTTAAATATCCCACCAGCATTCAATGCGGTCTTGTTTTAGATGTTTAATATATATGGAAAATGAGRTGACTTCGAATATACATTCGCAATCCGTTTCCATCCATCGGTTTAAAAGTGGAATTTTACAGTATCTCCATTCATATAGTATAAAGGGATAATAAAGTGTATGTTTTTTCTTAAAATACGATGTACTTTTATATTTTCATACATGAGCAAAAGCTCGAAAGGGATGCTGGTGAACCATGTCCCTTTGTACTGCATTTATACATATAATTTTCAGACATAAGAAAATGTTTATTTAGTAATAGGTCGTTGAGGGTACTTTACATTTTTAATATCGTTAAATATTAATCTATTAATTTCTTTCTATTTCAAAGTATTCGAAACAAATTTGGTTGTGGCAAGATGAACAGTAAGAAATGGGGTAAGTGGTGCARCTACGACATAAGGATGAAAGACAGAACAGTTTCACAGRGTTCAACTAAATTAGTTGGACAACTGCTWCCTGGAGAAGACAAAGGCTATTGGAAGTTAAGAAAGGTAAGCATGAGCTTAAATATCAAAAGGTCACGCGCATGATGTGTCTCTTACTGTTGAGGTTTTTATGCACTCGACGCGAGGACGATTTTTTTATCAGTTATAAAATATCTTAGTTTAGTCTTTTAAAGATAGAATTGATTACTCATACCAAGGGGGAGAGGGAGGGGAACTTTCTCTCAAATCAACCCTTATAAGGTGACTATACGACAACTCACAATGCATTTCGGCACTGGAATACAGTACTTTTCAATTGCTTAAATAATGAATCGTTTTTTATTATACATTTTAGGCATGTGGCTGACATGGTCCCAAGGATGAAGATCAGCAACCCTGATAGCAATGGATGCTTGTAAAATTGATGATGAAAATAAMAMAATGCTTGCCGAATCTTATGCATAATAAAAATATCAAAATTCTGCAACTTACGGGATATGGAATCTAACATGCAAAATAAAATTCTGTATCTCAAAACTCTTGTGTAGTAGTGATACCACTCGTRTAGTAATCCACTGGGAGRATAATTGTGATCATTTTGGATAAAAAATCTACATCGCCAGGYTAATTCTACCGMAATTTCACTGRACGTAGGAACGTTAACATTAAAGGATTTTTGAATATCGSTAGTGCATAACTAGAAATAGTTATGCACTTCTGTTAGTTTCTATTGTTCATCTCTTCACCATGGTCKCCGGTCTTTTATCTTTTTAATCTCATGGGAATTGGTGAAAATAAACAATAAAGTCCGCTCCTTGGACCACATTAAAGTGACCATTAATTCCAAATCTMAATATTTTGGGATTCCCAATGAGTACTAAAAGCCATAATGAAAGATTTCGCCAAAAAGATAATATCCGATCCTTTTTAGCTTTAACKTAAAACGACTTCAAATTGTTTGCAAATAATTCTTCTGATTAATTTGGTTCTCTCCAAGTTTATCCTCAAAATATTGATCTAATTTTGTTGATCTTTGCGTAGTTTGTTTTTTGAATCTTTGCCGATAAGTAACTGATTAACTGAGTGATTTTCATTAAAAACTGCTACGGGCTTCTTTGGATCTATTAATTGCAATGCACTGCGGCTGCTACCTCAAAATTAACAGAAACTAGGTTAAAGTTGCTAAACTGTAATACTTAGGTAGTATGGGTGGGAAAAAAATGAATCCTGTTAGAAAATGATGTCAGA